CCCGTATGTCACATATAATCTTGCACTGTGTCGAAGCCGTAGATATTCCTGTACATATCAAGGCGTCACTAGTAGAGAAAAACTGCCGCAAGACTACCAACGGCGCGCTGCGGGTGCGCAACGAGGTGAAATTAATGATGATGAAATGAAATAAAAATAAAAATGAATAAAATGAAAATTAAAAAAGGAATGAAACAAAACTGAAAATAACCCATATGAAATGAAATTCGTTTTACAGAGCGTGTCGGCTGCCTCCGGTATGGGAGCGCAGTAGTAAGACTTCTTGAAGTCAGGTCAGAGATCAGAAGGCAACGATACTGAGCGAGGTGAGCGAATAGGACATATTCAAACCTCAAATACTTTGAAGCATGTGGCTCCGGTGGGATGGGGACAGCGATCACATAAAACATGTGCTTTCTGGCCTATCACGGCCAAGAATAGTGAGGAACGGTGAGGAGAGCAGAGACATAATAGTATGTAGGGGCTACAAAATGCCACGTAAAAAACAAACCTGCACCAACTCTGGGTGTAGTTTCACAACATCGGCTGGATGAGTAGGGCTGTGCAGCTTAAAATAACCTCAATGGCCCCGAAATTAGGAAAACGAATAGGTTTCATCGCGCATTTCTCCACCCTCTTCTTAGGTTCGCGGGCGGTAGGGCAATTGGGGGAGGGGGGGGGGGGGGGGGCGGGCGTATTAATGTTGCGCTCCGCGGCTGCATTGCTTTTTGCCTCGCGACTGCCGCAGGCTGGTGTTAATCCAGCGGTGCTCATGGAATGTTTGCTTTTCAGCACAGATTGAACCTCACCAGCAAGGCATTTGCAATTGTGCTTGAGTGCGTCTTTTAAGCCACACAAGATTCACAACATTTGTGATGTCTCTCGATGTGAATAGCCTGGCAGGGGCGTAGTTTCTCAAACATGCTTTGTGGGCAGAGCATTACAAATTTACGATAAAAATTTGTCACTTCCCCAAAAATGTGCCATCAAACGTAGGGCTGTCCACCCTCTCCCCCTCCAAATTACCCCCTTGCGCCCTAATGTCGTTAGTTCGCTGTATGCGTTCTTAGTGCGCATGCCAACGGGTGGTAATGGAATAACAGCACGCAAGTGATAACGACCTTTGCTCTCATTCGTCTTCTTTCATGACCCTGACTGATGTGGGAGGTTCATGCGCCCCCCCCCCCCCTGATGTTTTCATAACCCTGACTGATAATGGAGGTTGATGCTGACCCCCCCCCCCCCCTGCTAAACTAAGTAAGAGCCTAGCGAAAACACTAATGCGTTTTTCTCAACAATACCTCGCGATTGGTAATATGGTTTTTGTTGTTAACTCCATAATCGGCCTGATTATGATAGGTCAAAAGTCAACTTTTTCTGCAAAATTGAGCTTATCCAGCTCTGTATGTTCACCTTTTCTGAATCCGCTGCGAGCAAATTGTGATCACTGTTCATTGCTGATCAGGCAGTGTTAGCGCAAGTTTTATGGGTTATATGTTTATGGGCAAGTTATATTTTACCTTCAACAGCATGGCCGCTTTAACAGAAATCTCGTCATTGACTCTCGCCCAGTTAGTTGGTGTGAAATGAGATGATAGGTTAGGACGTCGAATGTCCATTTTCTGACGCCAGCAGTTGCTGAGCGGCCCGGCAACTGACACGCACCGTTTAAATGAACGTCAGGTCCTTCAGATCGTTTCATTTTGGTGGCAGTGTTCCAAGAACCACCAGCCATCCGTTGCAGAACATCAGCCAGTAGCAGCCTGCTTGTTCAGTGTCAGCCAGCAGCCTGCTGTGCTCAGTGGTAGCCAGCAGCCTGCTCTGCTCAATGGTAGCCAGCAGCCTGCTCTGCTCAGTGTCAGCCAGCAGCCTGCTCTGCTCAGTGTCAGCCAGCAGCCTGCTCTGCTCAATGGTAGCCTGCAGCCTGCTCTGCTCAGTGTCAGCCAGCAGCCTTCTCTGCTCAGTGTCAGCCAGCAGCCTGTTCTGCTCAGTGTCAGCCAGCAGCCTTCTCTGCTCAGTGTCAGCCAGCAGCCTGCTGTGCTCAGTGGTAGCCAGCAGCCTGCTCTGGCTCAGTGCCTTAGCTCTCTTAGGTTGCTGAGTTCTTAGGAGATTGACCCCAACCCTCACCATAGCAAGGGGTATTCAACCAGCCTCCCGAGCGCGTGTTAATGTAGCACATCTGGCGGCGGTAAGATGGCGTCTCTCATCAACCCTAAGGCTGCAGAAAGTGTGACACTCTTCAAAGACGGCGAAACGGTGGTGAAAACGGCGAAATGTCGGTGGAATCTGCTGTTGGCAAGACAGGATTGCCTTCTGCTGAACAGCATTGTGTGTGTGGGGTTTTCGCCTGTCTTGCTTTTACACACGTTACGCCGGTGGCTGGGAAGCAACCCACGCGTTCACCCACGTCATCGAGCTGACGGCATCGTTAGAACGGCATCGCTAGACTTGGGGACGCGACTAGGGCGACTGACGCAGGCGCGGAGTCATGACGCTGTTTTGGCACGAAACAGTGTTGAAAACAGCACGCCTATCCTGAATGTCGGGATGACGAGCCACCATAATACACGTTACATGTCCACACAAAACGTGTGAGACGCGCAGTACGTTGCTTGGAGTGTTTTTAACGCATGTTAAACAAGACAATCAACCCGGTTGCGTGTTCGCATAGTGCTGCCGGGCTGTACTGTGCCTGAAGCCTCAGCGGCGCTTTGTGAAGTCGAGGGCTCCGTTTACATAACATGCATCAAAGGCCGCTGCTTCCGCCCGCGGTCTAATTGGTAATCATCCGCTCACAGGGCTTTGTTCCAGCTTACGCTGCGCAAACAAGACACATTTAACGCTAGTTCCCCTTCGCCTTTATCCCGTACCCAACGCTCGACCAGCCGTGACTGATGACACAGCTTGGACAAAATTTAGACCTATCAGCGCCTGGCTGCGACCGCGGCTTGAAAAGCACGTGAAATCCAGTCCACATTAGCCCTGTTTACGTAGGGCATTGGAAATGTTACCGGATTGGCACCAAAGGTGGCCTGCTGTAGGTTTTTTTCCATTTTTATGCATCCGCGGTGCTGGTAGCGTGGCGCTCTTAAGACAAACTGTGCAAAGTTTTGTTAGCGCATTGAAGTAGCTATAACGAAAAGTCTTAACTTCTTTCTAGGAAATCCATGCCGATTTTGTGTTGTCAGCTACTGCTTAAGCAATACTACGGCACATTACAATACCAACAACAACAAAGTAACAACTGTCGTCACACTAAACGTGGTGCTTTTGCAGCTTAATCCTCGTGCACGCGCAGCTTTCAGCAACTTCCTGGCAGCAAAAACTAAGCCTGACCAATCAGCAAAGGGCTTTCAAAGATCCAGATCGATAAAATGGCCTAAGGCAGCGAGGCCATTCAGGGTGCGGCTAAACCATTCTCATTTCCTCGCCACTAAAGAGCATTTATGATTTCTGCTTTAGACAACTTGAGAAAGAATAATATCACAATAAAAAAGAAAAGTAAATACAATGTGCACCATTGTCATGCATTAAGAAAATGCCAAGCTATGTTTAATGTAGATTCGTTAGAGCTTCAGTTATTTACAATGAGCCTACTTGATCACATAAATGCCAACGCTTCTCATGTTGTCCTTTTCATACTGGTCAAAACTGATCCGGTAAGGTACCATATTTCAGCTTGGATGGATATACACCTGGAGTGAAGCATTCTAGCTAAATGTTAGGTTTGCCAGCAAAAAAATTGCATACATCTGTGTCACAGATAGTGTATGACAATGCCACTGAAACTGGAAATAAAAAAGGCTGGGCAGCAGCTAAATTATAGAGGTGACAGGATGACTTGAGAATAATATTTTTAAAGGGAAAACATAACTAGTATGCACCCATGCGTAAATTGGTGCAGACAAAATGACAGGAAAAAAAGTGGAGGTCCCCACTCCATCCTACCAGTAGTTACACAAATGACAACAGAGCTCTTACTCTCACATCAGAGTCGCAATGAGATTAACCCGACCATTTGACAAACCAAACTGAAGACTGAAAGCGCTGATCGGACAAGCCTTCCCAAATATAATGTCCATGATGCAATCTCAATCATCTTCTGATAATACAAACAGTTTGCTGTTACCGACCAACTCGTTGGTCGTTATTGGTGCACGCTTCAGCAAACTAGCTATGACAACAATGCGAAGGCTCCACTCACATCTCCCGTGAGTACGCTAATACGTTATTTATAACGGGAAAACGTCCATAGTTCGCCCGATTTGAGCCATTGTCAAGTGTTCCCAGTGATATAATCCGTTTTACTTTTTCACAAAGCTGTCAAAATGCTGTTGAGAACCGAAGAAATGAAAAGACTTTAGTCGCACCCGGCCGTTCATCCCGGGACGGCTAGGCTATCATATCGAATATTGTAGCTTGGCACAGATTCGTTCCAAGCTACCATATTCTCCATGCGTAGAAATATAGCACAAGATGTTTAAGTTATTGCAGTCAGCTGTATTGTCTGGTTGCAAAGTAAAAAAGCACAAACGCACTACTTTTAGCACAAATTTGGATGATTTCTAACACCTGCACAAGAGAAAAGCCGAGATCGTCATCATTGGCACACTCGTTTCAATCTGGCAACCATGTATTTCTCATGTAAAGAGTGATACTGTCGGCTGTGGAACCAGGGATACGGGGCGTCACCGTACAGAGGCATGGAGATAAGCATATGCTCTTGTGATGTAAGCGCTTTTGCGCTTATGCTGTCACTCCATGTCCCTAATCTGTTTAGAGAATGCATATTATCAAGCAAAAGCGTTCACTATCGTCTAAACGCACCCGCTGTCAACAAACATGTAGTTGGCTCTTTGTAGATAAATTTTCTGATCGCCATCGTGGCCTATTTGGCAACACATAAAATCCCATGTGACCATGTAAAATCCTATGTAAACGGGTCTCGGGATGGTGCTAGCTGACCACGCCTGTGCTAACTACCGCATCTGCCTGCAGGTGGTGAAGATGGTTGTGCTGGTGATGTTGGTGTTCGTGCTCTGCTGGCTGCCCCTGCAGATCATCAGCTTATACGCCATATTCGCCATCGATGCAGTACACAAGTTTGCGGTACGTACCACTGTCGTAATTGCCGTGAAAGATTGCATGGACAGTTTTAGACTGTTAATGCCAAAACATATTATGCGACGTGCTTTTCTAACTGCCGGACTTAAATAAAACATCGCTCGTAATTCCCCTCATAGCCGCTAAATCCAAAATGTTAATGCTACAGAAAAAGTCTCGCGCAAATTCTCGAAGTGGCAGGCCTCGTCCGCTCAAACGGTCACATGCTCTCCCAACCGACAGAGTAACACGTCCACACGCTGAGCCACATGTGCTCATGCACACTTATGACACAAATAAAATATTTATACAGCCGTCGCATCTTTCAGCAAGGTCGTCGTGTACAAGTCATTGATGCACCGACAGGGGCGCCGATGATTTTTAAACGGCAATCCCGCTTAGGGCGGCAAGACAGTGCCGCTAGCCTTATTCCTCGAAAAATAAGCGGGAGAAAGGGGGAATTGATGCATAGATATTCGGCTGCCTGTCTTTATCGAAATGAATATCAGTGTTGACTCATGTTTTGGCCGCCACTTTGACTGATTAAATATCAGCTGTGAGCACGTGCAAAGTTTGCTTCTTGGAACCGCAATGGCACTGTCATCCCGTTTAACCGATTTATCTCGTCAAGGACCTTTTAACTTGTACTAAGTGGCAGCAGTCTACCAGGCTCTACCAGTATCAGAATTGTATTATATAAAGTTGCGCAAGTACTACCGAACGTCGATTTCCGCTTTATTTCAGAGTGTCTTCGGCGTAGCATGGCGGACTGCAGGGGCCGTGATAGCAAGGCTTCAATAATGTCCTGCCTGCTAAGGCTTCAGCGGTCACGAAAGAAGATAATCTACAACAGAATGATGTTTTTAGGCTGCAAATTTCATAGGTGACACAAAGTTACGCTTCTGTGTCTGCCTCTGACCTGAATATCATTAAAATAGTTTGCAGCTGGTTTGCGCCCTAAGCAAACTTAACGGAGATGCCGCATCCAAGTTAGACGACATGGTTCCCGTCTTAAATGCTATTGACACAGCCGGCCACTGCTCGTGTCTTATGTCGCAAACGGCTTATGTAAAGCTGGCCGCGTTACGTTAGCCAAGGAAGACATAAGCCTGGACCGGTCTTTACGTCCCAAGAACTGTGTTGAAGGGCTCGGGCCGGTTCTCCCCATTTACGGAATGCAGTGGTTCGTTTGGATTCATGAGTCTCGGCTATTATCCGTCATCTCGAAATGACCTCGGCATTTGTTGGACATGACAAGGACTACCTCAGACGCGATGGACCGCATCCCGGTTATTCAGATTCATAACCCTTTGATCTAAATAAGACGAAATTCAAGGCTCATCAGGCGTGGTAATGGCTACATGGCCCAGGACGAGCCTACACTGAATTGCATTGCTCGATGCATGGCGGTTATGCTTTTGCGACGTGGTATGAAGCATATACCATTTGCATTGTCATCATGGCGGCTATAGCTGTCGAATGACGTTAATGCTATTAACATGCGCTCCGGAGAGGCAAATTGGCAAATTGAATTATTTCCGAGCAACGCGGCTACGCTGCGCCGAACTTTACATAGCTGTAGAGAATTAAATAACGGATCTTTTGTAAAGAAATTAGATGTAAATTGGATGGTGTTAAGAAATTGGATGTACCTTTTAAGGTCGCAGAACTATGGCAGGTCAAAGTTGAGCCATGGCTGTCAATGAAGGGCATTTCTAGGGAATCGGTATATGTAATGCAACCACGGAGTGTTAGACAAAGACATACCTATCTGAGATAGTTTTTTTATAAACCAATCGAATTTCAAATTACGAACTATTTCATTGACCTAAGGTCAAAGAATAAAGACCACACTGAAGTCAAAACTAGCCTGCCTTTTGTTCCAGGGTTTGGTTTCATGAGATAGTTTTTGGTGCTCATTTCGAATGTCTTAATGACAGAGACCCCAAAAGACATGTTCCATGGTCTTCTGACGTTTATTCAAACGACAAAATAGAAGCAGTCTCGTGGATGTTTGGGCACCTTGACTTATAAAGGTCCAAAAAGGTTACTGAATTTAGTGACATTTTGCTCAAAACAGGTATCAAGCTTCACTTATCTTGCATGAGGACGTCTGGGGCAGTTGAAACACCGTTCTGGAGTTTGACCCTGTTTGAACTTATTTGGCCTCAAGGTCATAACCTAGGGATCTTGAATTTTGATATAAATGAGTCCACGTACAGGCCAATCTATCCTGTGAATTTGGTATACCTATTTTAGTTTTTCATGTATCGGGGTGGACAAATCGCGCAAACATTTTAGGCAACACGGTGCCTGAAGTAAAATCTGAAGGACGATTAACGAACTCTAAACGGGTGACCAGGGCCACGCACTCGACGTGTGTGCCGCATAGCAGATCTATGAGATGTGCAGGCAAGAATGAGGACTTTATCGCTGAGAGTTTGTCATTGTGCTTAGCATTGACAGAAAGTCGCTGGAACATGTCGACCCCCATTCTCGTTTGCCCGTGCGTGGCCTGTTTTTGACTCTTGGTGCCCCACCAAGAGTCAAGAGTTCTGTTAAGATATTAGTTGTGATATGCTTGTTTTAGCTGACTTTGCTGACTCAGAAGCCGACTTTTGCTTATTTTTCGGTGTCAGATCACCAAAACTGTGAACGCTCTTAGAAGATGATACACCAGTAACTTATATGCCACACTGTATATAAATTATCAGAGGTATAGTATTTCTCAGTTTGAGGCCTAAGCGCCCCTCTCCCTCCCCCTTCTACCCTAATTTTGAGAAGAATGTAGCCAGACCTGAGGAGGAATTCGATTGCTGGCGTATTTTGGGATCCATTTTTTACTGTTCAGTCTCCGCACCAACTTAGACGTGGGGACTGCAATATTAGGCGCAGCATTAGGCGGAACTCCAGCGCTAGTTTACGAACGTTCGCAAACTGGGAGATGTCGCGGTGGAATTGATCGAGCACTCTCAGCTTGAAAGTATCTACTCGCCGCCCGCGACGACCCACTTGTTAAGCGCGCTGGGTGCTGCAAAGAGCGAGCAGAGAGCGCCTTAACGTAACATACCCGATGAAGTCGGACACTCAGCTTCGACTTCTCTCACTGGCAGGTGAGCCAATGCGCCGGGCAGCCTTTAGTGGGAGTGCTTACCGTCTAATGGACGCCGCTACCAGCTCCGGCGGCTTGAAATACGCATTCGATTCGTTTCCCTATGGACGTCTGATTTTTCTGCCGCGAGATGTGTGAGGGCCACAGTGCTCCGTAATTGGATTCAAATGGAGTCATTAGATTTCCCAATCGTGTGTAGGACAGTCAGTTTGCTCCCCTCCTCCCCCCTGGAAAGGTTTTTCCAGAATGATTTTCGAACGGCGCCGCGCGCCATACTTTGCATTGCTGTAGGCAGTAGCGCGGACAGGGAGGAGACAGGGGGCATGTACCACCCTCCCCGTTAGGTACGGAGAGGGTCTTCGGGCCTCTTGGAACCTACGATTAAGGGCCCGATTTGAAGGCCCGCAGGGCCCGAAAGGCCGGCCAAAGGTCCCATTCAGGAGCCCCGGCCAGTGGGGCCAGGCACTCCAATGCCAGGCAGAGGGTCTTGCGTGCTGATCATGGGCCCACCAAGTCGATAATGGCTCATATTTCTGTAGACACCAGCAGTAACGCACAGTCGGCTCCGTAGCAGAACGAGGCTACGCGCCCATTTTCCAAGCAGAGCCAAAGCAGGAGCCAGCGATTTACATTTCACAGGGCCCCACAGCGACTAACAGGGGGCCTGTATTTTCAAGGGGCCCCGAGTCGGCTAGGGGCAGTATTCGAGGAGGCCAAAAAGTCTAGAGGGTCCACTGGGTCCGACGATCAACGGCGCGATTGAAGGGCCCAAGGGCATATAGGGCTGGTCAGAGTCCTCTAACGGTCAGAGAGCCCTTAACGCCGATCGAGGATCCCTTGAGTCCACATGGGCCTATATGTCGGTCAGGTACCACCAGTACCGCACAGGCGGTTCCGTGTCGGCATGGGTTTGAGGGCCCACTTCCCAGTCAGCGATGAAGCCGGGGCCAGTGATTTACACCAGTCGGGGGCCTTTATTTATCAGAGCCCCCAGCGCCTTACAGAGGTTTCATGTGCTTGCACAAGCCCCGAGCCGACTAAGGAAAGCATTCAATGAGAAGTCGGTCAGAGATCATGAACATCGAACAGTTGGCTCCACGTCCGTCTGAGCCAATGAGACCCATTTCCCAAGCAGAAACGAGGCCGGGTCCCCTATTCACAATGCTCGGGTCCCTGATATAATAAGAGGCTCCTATATCGGTTAGAGGCCACAGTGCTTAACGGGGGTCCTGTGGCGGCGAGTGGCCGCCAGTCGGAGCGGAGGTTGAGGGGGTCCAAAGGGCGGGGGGGGGGGGCGAAGGGTCTCTCGAGACCAAAAATCAGGGGCTCAATGGGGTAGCTGAAAAGTCCGAAGGGCTGGCTATAAGTCACATTACGAACCCCCGCCGATAGGGCCGTGATCTCAAAGGTCTGTAAGTTGATCTCGTGCACCGACGAGGGCTGCCGAGGCAAACCGTTCCTCTATTTCGGCCAGAGATCACGAACAGCAAACAGTAGGCTCTGTGTTGGTCTGAACGCGGAGGACTCATTTTCAAAGTAGGGACAAGGCCGGGCCCGCGACTTACATTGGTCGGGCTCCTCATCGTTCAGGGCTCCACAGTGCCTAACAGGGCATTCTGTGTCAGCAAGGGATCTCGAATCGGTCAGGGGAAGATTTGATCAACAGGGACGTGTGCGGAAGTCCGAATGACAGAGGGTCTTTTGCGTTGGCTGGGCTCTCTGGCAATTGAAGGAAACGTAAGAACGTGTGATGGGTGCTCACATTGAGCCAATAGAGGAGTCCTGTGTAAGTCAGGGCCCCTGGTACCGAGCGGTGGGCCCTCCAACCCTATTCTAGCATGGCGGCTGTTAAGCCCAGATGGAGCTTATATGACCACCTGCGATCATTTTTGATCAAATGAGTACAAGACGCAGAACGCCATCTCGTGCTCCCATGAAAACATTCATTATTTTGCGAATGCCATCAAAATGGAGTTCATTTGACCACCTGCGGCGAGCGGTAATGTTGTTGCCTTAATGACGGTTCATGACGGTACACGCGCCCATCCGGGGTCAACTGTGCTGGTTAAAAGGTCCCCGCGTCAGGAAGCGGACCAATGTGGTATGATGTATCCCTCCAAGGGCTTTCGGATCCGCCAGGGGATGCCGCTCCTTGTCGCCAGGATGGCGGCCGGAAGACACACCGCGGTGACCAGAATGGCGGCCGGAAGACACACCGCGGTGGCACAGAATGGCCCTTCAGCCCTTGACCGTGAACAGCAATGTACCTGATAGTGTTGTATTTAAGGGGACCCCTTTACCGGAAAGAAGTGAGGGGTCTCATCAGGATGGAATGGAGTGGTTCGAAATGAGTTCAAAACGCAAAACGCCAACTCATGCTCCCCTGAGAACATTCATTATTTTGCAAAATGGACTAGTGAAACAAATGCCATCAAAAAGCTTGAGCCTACGCCCGGGGTACCGATAGTGTGGTGGTTAACGCTCCTGCGTTAACCACTATGCGAATGGGATACCACAGGTACGGGGTCCGATTCCCGCGGTGCCCGCCCTTCCCGCCACCGTGAGAGCTGGCGGCACCATATAGCCCCAGCAGCTGAGTGCGTCACAAAGCCTCAATGACACGTCTGTGATCTTGGGGAGCAAGGATAGCGGCGTATGGGGTTACAGTCTTCGCAAAACCAGACGGCGTTGGTCGCTGCAAGTAATGCGAGAGAGCATGCGCCGCGCGCGCAACAATGGCCGTCATAAAATAACGCTTCGGAATAGCTTAAAGAATTAATTCGTATAGTTTAGAAATTACACCGGAAAGACCCTTTTTTGCAGCTTTAAAGTTGTCCTCTGGACCGACATACAGCTGCAGCAACATGGAAAATGGAGATTTTACTTTTACCCTTCCAGTGCACGACCAGATTCCAGCACCACTCCAAGGTGCTGTAGAGATTAAGACGTTATTGTCATCATTCTGAAAACAGCACAGGTGAAATATACGCCCGGAATATCTTTAAATGTACGATTTGGTGTCCACAAGCGTTCAAAGGTGATTGTTTCAAATGCGTCATCATTTTCGTCCACCTGTTGGCCACGGCCTAGTATCAGCCGCGGGGCCGACGCCACGCGGCCTCAGGAGATTGCAACGCCTGGAGTCGAAGATTTTGCTGCCAAGGTATGCGAGCACGCATACTCAAAACTACGTTATGTATTTTGAACCAATAATCAATTCTGAGTGAGTGTTGAACATAGCGAGACAAACATGGCTTGGTCATGTCAAAACAACTTTTTGATCCATTTTGATCTCTACCCTGCATTCACGGAATCCTTGCTAGCTCTGTGCAACCCAAATACAAAGTCTAAGTTTCTGAGTTCTATCTCGTTTAACGCATGAGTTTTTTTTTAATTTATATAAACCAAAGGCGAAATTGATCTCTTGGTAGCATCTGCCATAAAATTAATTCATGGAAGGTAGAAATGAGTAAGAGAGAGAGAGAGAGAGAGAGAGAGAGAGAGAGAGAGAGAGAGAGAGAGAGAGAGAGAGAGAGAGAGAGATATATATATATATATATATATATATATATATATATATATATATATATATATACATATATAAATGTGCGAGAAAAACATGACATCATTAACAACTGGGCCATATCCAGTGATTGTTGGGGGTCCTTTAACTATCAGGGGGCCCTTTTTCAACCCGGCGCCCCCCCCCCCCTTTTCCCAAAGCTCTAGCTGTCCCCCTGACTGTAGGCAATTGAATACCGGAGCTCTTATTCTGAATAACTAAATGTACCTCGTAAGGTCGCCAACCTATGGCAGGTTAGAGTCAGGCAATGGCTGTCAACGAAGACAATTTCGAGGAAATTGCTCAATCTGATGCGAGGACGGAGCGTTAGACGGAACAATGCACCTCCAAGACAGTTTCTTCGAAAACAAAACAAATGAGTTTTGAATAGCAACAGATCCCATTCTAGCGTCAGACATGAAGGTGCGACCGAAATCGCAACTTATTTCTTTTTTACTCGAAACTTGCATTTATGGCAGTTTTTGGTGGTTATTTCAAATCTATGAAGAACGGGGATCGGAACAGGCATATTCCATGAAATTCTTAAATGTTAGAATAGATCAATGACCTGAAATGACCCGGGCCAACATTTTAATGTTGAAACATTTTGTCTAGCGTAGTTTCTGACGTTTAATCAAATAGAAAATTAGAAGCAATATCGTAGGTTACGATCGTCTTGAGTTTCTAAACGCTAAAAAGGTCACTGACCTTAAAGAAAATAGTGGCATTTTGCTTAGAGCAGCTATCTCGGCTCGATGTCGTTGCATGAGAAGGTCCGGGGACAATTTTGTGGCCGGCATTTATACATAAGAATAGAGACTAAGTGAAGGCACCCATATATGTTCCTCCAGAACAGCGCTGTCGCTTGAATTCGTGCTGGATAGGGGGCGCACCCATTTATGTCAGAGCAATGTTCGCGTTGCATTCGTATGGGGGCCACCAAAGGTCTTTTATTGATGCCATGTTTTCGCCACAAGTACACATAGCTTGTTAGGAGTGAATGCAGCCCGACTTCCGGCAACAACCAACTCCTAGCGCTAAACGGTATCAACCAGCTCCCAGCGTCAAAGCGCCTCGGCTTTCACTGAAAACGCTCGGTCGTGTCCTGGTTCCGTTGTGCGTCACATGCTCGGTCGCGTCCTGTTTTCGCTGTGCGTCGCATTCTCGGTTGTGTCCTGTTTCCGCTGTGCGTCACATGCTCGGTCGCATCTTGTTTCCGTTGTGCGTCTTACCGTAAAGGTGACTTTTGGTATTGTTTCGATGAAGGCATGTTGCCGAAAGATCAACCCAACTATATCTCCATTCTCCTGGTTTTTCTCCGAGGAATATGGCTAGTACTGCTGTCTCATCTATGTGAATAATGTTACTCACTGATGCACTGAACAACTTGCATAATGCGACATGGTTATAACCCATATTTATAGGTATGCATACGCATGTAGAGGGCTTTCAAGTACCCGGCGCATCTGGGTATGTGACAGAGACTGAGGGAATCCACCCGAATAGTTTTGCTGGGACCGCGTTAGTGTTCAAACCCGCACTGCGGTATTAGGAGCAAGATTTGTCACCTGGGTATAAAGTTGACGTCAGTGATAAGGCACTTGTGCCAAGAAGAGCTTGTGCCCGGCGCCAACTACACTCTGTGCTTCGACAGCCGTCGTGGTTTGAGAGCGTGCACTTCCTGGCGTACTTCATGGCCTACAGCAACTCGCTCTGGAACCCCATCCTCTACGGCGGCTTCAACAACAACTTCAGGCAGGGCTTTGCCCGCCTCTTCCTGTGCCGTGGAAAGCGAAAGTTCAGCGCCCGCAACGACAGGTCAAGGGACAGAAACGGTGGGTTTGGCAGCGACGACAACTACTCTTTTATGATGGTGGTTCTTCACCAGGAATAGCTTCCCAGTTCAATTTCATGTCATTTCCTACGATAGTACAGTGCTTGTGCAATGTAAATTGCACACGCACTGTACCATCTTACCACTGCACTTCGTACCTGTATCGTTATGTTATTGGCGTGCGCCTGAGTCCCCTCCTGCTCGAGCCGCCAGTGCCGCTGTACCTCGGCACGCCGCTGCCCCGACCGGCGGTGTACTGCCTGGGGCGCCGCCCGGCGGGGTCGGCGCCGCCTGCTCGCCTCGCGTGTTAAGACAGTTACCGCCTCGCAACGCTCGTGTCTGGTCTGAATGGCCGTGGTCTGACTGAAGGGAACGCGAGCAGACAGAACACGTGAGACTTGAATGGTACCACTGCAGTGCATGTTCCACAAAGTACCACTGTACTCTATTGCACCACATATTTGCACTTTTCGATTCTGTGGGCAACGTCCATGAACGCAATTTCATTAAAAAATATTATTTACTTGATGAATATCGCGTATGAAATTATTGTAAGAAGACGACCTTAATCTAATTAAATATTCGTTTTTTGTCTTGTGAAAATGTTCAAATTCTACATGTCATCTGTGCTTGCTGACAGCGGACTCCCCAGCGCTCGACTGGTTACTTTTACGCCTGTTGCCTTGTGGGTCTGCTTCATTTACGTCAGCAAGGTACACCCTTTACCACAATGATAAAGTGTCTATGTCAGCGTTCTGGGTGGCAACAATGGGAACTTCATTAAAGCCAGCGAGAGCCCCAGAAATGAAGCAAGAAAAGAACTATGTGTCTGACTTAGAGTGATGTCCTGTGTTGTCGTTTTCGCGGTAATGAGAACTTTTCGTGATGAAGATTTAATGATGTCGCAGTGATAAGAGCTTCTGAAACTTTGGATGGGCTCTGCTGCTTTCACGCTGTGCAAATGATGTAATCAACGCCGCCTTCATCATTCGGAGTGCTGACATTTATTAATTTGACGATTCTACCACGACGGTCAACCGCAGCTCCGTATATTGCGACGGCTGGCTGACTACCTCCGTCAAAACTGCTATATTTCGAGGATGCGTTCGGCGTGCATTCCGCCGGACGGTGCTAGCGGTCATCGCCAGAGTGCACTCGGCTTCGATAGAGTCACCATCGTTCATGTCGTGATAAACCCCGGGGTTGGGTAATCCTACCTGTTCCAGATAGCACTGTCATGCAATTTTGCCTGTTGCAAAACACACTGCAGTTTGGTTTAGTGGTCATGGCCTCTTGTCATGCAGCTTATTATCTGCGTTGTCATGCAAGTTATTCTCTGAATTGTCATGCAAGTTATTCTCCGAGCTGTCATGCGAGTTATTCTCTGAGTTGTCACGCAAGTTATTCTCTGAGCTGTCATGCAAGTTTTTCTCTTAGTTGTCATGCAAGTGATTCTCTGAGCTGTCATGCAAGCCATTCTCTGAGTTGTCATGCAGGTTATTCTTTGAACTGCCATGCAAGTTATTCTCTGATCTATGTTGTGGCAGCAAAAGCTGCCTACAATCATCTACAGCTGGTTCAGTTATAAACTATAGCTATTGCCTACAACTGTCCATATAACTCGGCGCAGTGATCCGGCCGCATAAAACTTGTCGGTCTGCGCTATGATCTGGCTGAGATGTCCACGTCCGTTCCAGGTTATGATTCGGCTGAGATGTCCACGTCCGTTCCAGGTTATGATTTGACTGAGATGTCCACGTCCGTTCCAGGTTATGATTTGACTGAGATGTCCACGTCCGTCCAGGTTATGATCTGGCTGAGATGTCCACGTCCGTTCCAGGTTATGATTTGACTGAGATGTCCACGTCCGTTCCAGGTTATGATTTGGCTGAGATGTCCACGTCCGTTCCAGGTTATGATTGGCTGAGATGTCCACGTCCGTTCCAGGTTATGATTTGGCTGAGATGTCCACGTCCGTTCCAGGTTATGATCTGGCTGAGATGTCCTCGTCCGTTCCAGGTTATGATTTGACTGAGATGTCCACGTCCGTTCCAGGTTACACAGCTCCTCTGATTCAGTTGCTGCCTTTGCACACGGCTAGCTCTCGGAGAACGCAGATGACCACGACCCGGTAGAAGCTTGGAGCCCTGCCATGAGCACGGGTCAGTGAGCTCGGCTGAAGAGCTCCAACGGCCACTAAGCTGGACTGAAGAGCTTCAACCTCTGAGACACAAAGGGGCGCGCGGTGGGAACCCTGTGACGATCAGCTGCACAAGCGACACCGCAGCGAGCGCGCCAGCGCTGGTGGTGATGATCGGCTGGGTGAAGAATAGGGACAAAGTGGTTTACAGTCTGGTGATCACCAGGGAGAGACGGAGGCGCGGGTTTGCGCACGGTGGCAACCACGCGATCAATGGTCATTCTTGACATGGGAGCCTCGCCAGCGCAGCTACAGTCAATCCCTGTGGCTCGCTGGCCTCAAATGATCGTTGGGAGATGCGCCGGTGTTCAAACTGGGCAGTCGGATTCTGCTGTGTGCGCCACTGTGCGCCGAGCATTGCCAATTATTTGCTGTTCGCTCTTCGGAACACGGGGAGGGACGTGTACAACTGTAGATGTACGTTCAGCAGAATAAACTATATGTTCATCTGATTCACACATATGTTCAGCAGAGTTCCATGTATGTTCAGCAGAATTAAATTCATGTTCAGCAGAATTACGGATACGTTTAGCAGAAATCACTGGATATTCAGCAGAATTAAATCTACGTTCAGAAGAGTTACAAAGGTGTTCAGCAGAGTTACATATATGTTCAGCAGAGTTAAATGTATGTTAAGTAGAGTTTAATCTATGGTCAGCAAAGTAACCTACATGCTCAGAGCAGAGATACATATGTGTTCAGAGCAGAGATGCATATCTATACCGCAGAGTTAAGCTGACGTAAGTCAAGTCAAGGCGCGCCGTCATTCATACCAGAGAGTGACGTCATTCATACCAGAGAGTGACGTCATTCATACCAGAGAGTGACGTCATTCATACCAGAGAGTGACGTCATTCATTGCAGAGTTGACATTCAAGCAGTCAATCAGAGGTCATCTGAAGTCTTCCCATGACCTTCTGTAATTCTGACCTTTGATAGCCGCGCACACACAATGATTGACAACGATCGTTTTGGTTCGTAGGCAAAAACCTGATTCCAGTACTCTATTTATGCGGGTTTCAAGGCTTCATACTGACTTTTGGACAGCGGTTTCAGCGTCACTGGCATCGATGTGCTCACAACCTCACAGCTCGTGTGCCGGCGTTGGTTGAAAGTCATACTTAAGATAATCGGTCACGGTTTAACTGATCACATGTCCTAACTAAACCTGTTATTGTGTAACACAGCCTGATTCAAGCTGAAACGTAATGCTGAAGGGTAACTTTGAGTAACGCATTAAAGATATCATTGAGCACGCTTCAAGTACGTAACAAATGTTATCGTAGATCAAGTGGTACCCTTCGCCTCCTTATCACTGTGATGGTTGAGACTCATGCCTCTACTTTTGTAGAACTGGAAAGTGCGTCCATGACTGACTGCACACATCGAACTGTAAAACATACAAAGATATTAGCACTGGACGCTGCAAATTACAATCGTATTGGACAATTGCAAGTATAGAGCATCGCATTGCATTCTTACCCTGCAATTCGGACTCAGACGGAAGTCTGAACCAATTTGGGAAGATGCATGGTCTCCTTGGCTTGAGATTTACCTGGTCTTTGTTTTTGCTTGCAGCGTCACAAACGACGTTGTGCTGCATCGTAGATGGTTAATAATTCGGTGACCTTGCCTGGCAATGCTGACTGAGAACCGCGCTGCCACTGTGCCGTCATGTTTGGCGCACGCTGCTCACGACATTTTCATTCATGCGTCGCGAACATGCCTCGCGAACTTCATGCGTCTCGAATATGCGTCACGAACCTCATGCGTCGCGAAATCCGCAGCGGTGCAGACCACTGTCAACTTCATCAAATGTTGCAAGCCATTGCTTATTGTACTGCTGGACTTGGAATGTGCCCGTTGGGCATGCAACACCTCCTTTATGGGAGTGCTACATGCTACACATTACATGAGTGCTACACATCATTTGTATGAGGTTTCTAACTGAAATAGCCATTTTGAACATCATTCCGTGCACTCCACAGGCATCGCTTTTTTCAGACGAAAGCTCTCTAGTCTCTGAGCTACACGCCCAACATGAGCACACTACTTTGTGCAAACTTTTTCAAGGTGACCCAGGCATCGGTGACGGCAAGATAACGTCATTCAAGTCCTGGCATTGTATTTCGCATGCAGCGATCAAGGCCAATAAATACACAATTGTCTATTCGTTCATATCTGGCATTCGGGGGCATTATTTCCAGATATAACAACCGTCAATCAGCTCTCAACCAATGTTGGCCTGTAGGGAACTGCACTTAACTGCACTTCGAACTGCACTTAAAGGTCTTTAAGATGACTCTTTCAGTTTGAAACCGCCTATACGAACGTGGAACATTTCCTATAATATGGATATTGCCAGCGAGCACGATGATACTTACTACCAGGATGGGAGCCAGTTTGTCTCGAAATACCGTGATGCCAAGACGCCGAATGACGCGACGTGAGGCACTTCACCACGGCTATTTGTGTCGCGGGCGAGATAAATCCACGTGCACTGAAAAGACGGCTCGATTTATCAAAATCCGTTGCTCGACATCTCGTCCTAGAATTCCAATTCCGACGAACGCATTGACGCATGAAGCATGCCTTGTGAACGCGGAGTTATAATGGTGGAAAGAAGGTGTTAATCATGCGATTTGCGGTCTTGATGACAAGCACAGTGACAGATTTCGATATCGCTCAGCACAGTGTGGCCACCTTCCGGAGCGGCTCGACAGCCCGCGACGGCTCTTCAAAATCGTGGCACACCGAGTTAGATCGTGACGCAGGAACCGGCACGCCTCTTGTGGGGTTTGACAGTGCACTGGTCTGGCTGCGCTTCTGGAAGCTTGAGGCACGGAGCTCGATTCCCAGCAGTGCCCGCCCTTTCTAGGTAGGAGAAACCGCATCGCCTCGGCAGCTGAGTGCGTCAACAAGCCCATGACGTGCTCTCCAAGGTGCGACAAGCTGTTAGTTCTTTCCGCCGCGAGGCGAACCATGACAACAGCCACGAAGCGAACCATGACAACTCTCCAATAGCGGCACCCTTCCTCCCCCCCCCCCCCCCCTCCATCCCTCTCCAAGCCGCACAGCAGGTCGGGATGCCTTTGCAAGCGGCATAGCAGGTTGGGGTGCCTTTGCATGCGTCGTAGCAGGTCGGGATGCCTTCACAAGCGGCATAGCAGGTTGGGATGCCTTTGCAAACGTCATAGCAGGTCGGAATGCCTTTACAAGCGGCATAGCAGGTCGGGATGCCTTCACAAGCGGCATAGCAGGTTGGGATGCCTTTGCAAGCGTCGTAGCACATCGAGATGCCTCTAGAAAAAAAAACGTTTGTCGACGTATTTTGTGGGATAGTTAGCGCTGTTTTTCACTGCTCAGCCGATCAACTCGCGTGGCGGTACTACGTCCCTGGTATGCACGTCACACGAGCGGAGCTCCCTATCTCTCGCAACCTTGAATGGTTCCTTTCGACAATCGCGCGTGTCAGGCATGGCTGAAAAAATGTGTAAAAGGTTGGTGGGGCAGCAGTTTTGGTACGAGCGTCTTGAGAAGTGGAATGGTTGATAAACTCTTCAGTAAAAAGGTTAACTTCCGCACAAAACAACCGATTTCATCGTTCAACCATGTGGAAAATGTGCATTTTAACGTAGGAAAAGCAAGTCGATTTCCGAAAGCGTTAGTGTGGCAGCTGCCACGCCTGCCACACCGCATTCTTCCCCCACCCCCCCCCCCCCCGATGTCATGACGGGCAGAACGACCACCTCCCCAAGCAAGATGCAGTCACATGGCTGGCCGGATCAGCAGCCGCTGACGTCCCGGCCCAATGCAGTCAGGCCTGATCGAAAACATGGGGGAGGGGTGTGGGGGGAGGGGCAGAGTTGTGAACGTTGCAAAAGGGGCAGATAAGAGACACTGTGGATTTTATCCTTTTATATTCGGACTAGCTTTGACCACAAGCAATTTCCATTATATAAGCTACTTTTTACATACACACACACACACACATATATATATATATATATATATATATATATATATATATGTGTGTGTGTGTGTGTGTGTGTGTGTGTGTGTGTGCACGTATATATATATATATATATATATATATATATATATATATATATATATATATATATTATATATATATATGCATATATATGCATATTTGCTTCTGGTTTGCATAGTTCATTGCACATAACAGCAAAAGTAGCGCTTATGACCTTTTTGGTCGTTTATTCAAGGCTTTGTATGGTGGGTTTGTCGTTTTTTGGCGTGTCCACAATAATATTGCGACCGTTCATTTATATTTTATTATTCCAGCCATTGAAACGCAGAAAACACACATAAAAGTTTGCTCGTCATTCTCCTTCTACAAAACACACGCACACGGTGTTCTATTTGGCGAACTAGCGACTTCAGGATAGTACGAAGATGTCTCTGATATTTACTCCTCCGCTAGATGGGAGTAGCTGAGTCTTGCTCTATGTTAGCCAGATTTATCCCTTGTTAAGATCATTTGCCGCACTTTTTGAACGCTTATTCTTCATGAATAAGCTTTGAGGTAACTTAATAGAACTTTCTCTACCCATTTGTTGATTTCAAGACAAATTTGGTCTATGTTGAGCCTAGTTCTAGGTCATATAAAAAAGATAAAAGCGCCTAAATGAAAGTACGCGCAAGATTGAGCACGACCTTTTGCCCTGCTCAATAAGGACGCAGAAATGGACATTTGGGGTGCTTGCTTTAAATGCCGCCCTTTTCCGTACTGAAAATACCGATCCGGAGGCTAGTTGCCGATTAAGTGAGAAAGTGTGAGGTGAGCAAGCGTCTACGAAATGCGCATGAAAAGTTGCCAGTTTTCTCATCTGTAAGTGGCCAACGCACATACCGCTGCCAAGTGGTAGCATGACGACGTCCGAAGTGTCGTTGCTTCATCGGCTCAATGTCACCGTCGCTAGTATCAGCTGCCTTGATAAGAAAAACACGCGACAGGCTTTTGTGAAAGCCATAAAGAAAATCAGATCAAGCATGGTTGCGTAAGGGTGAAGTCTCCGTAATATGTATGTTGTTGACCAATGGAAATCAATGGTTTTCCTTGGTATATTTACGTAAATATCAATCACTTCTCCCTAATTGACCCTTTTCCATAACGCGGACTGATGGGGGGTGGGGGGGGGGGGGAA